GTGTCCCGCAGTAAGAGCGGTGCTGCCGTCAACAAGCGTACAGCCAATCTAAACCTATCCCAGTGGCTTCTTCACCCTTAAAAGCTGAGTGTGCCTGTTCAAACCACAACACTGAAAAGAATGTCCTGCACTTCCAACCTGTTCTAAGCATTTCGAATCAAATGTGAAGATCCAGAAAGGTAGCACACGCACACTGCTCATCCCCCAAATAAGAATTTTATGCAAATTTGAGATCAAAGCAGGATGCATCCCCATTAGCTGATGCTTCTACACTATTAAAAGAGCCCTTAAAGCGAATACTTCATAACATTAAGTGCTACACAGGACACAGATTTAGCAAACCTATCTCAAAATCAAGAATTTAAACAAACAAAAGATTAACTAGTGAAGAAGATAAAGACTTCTGCCAACGTATGCAGCCAAGGCCACGCAGCTGTCCTGCAGGTATCGGTTGTCAGAAGATTGAGGCAAACAACAGCCTGATTCTACCTTTGATTTGATGAGCCCTGACGTCACCTATCACCAGGCTGGAGAAGTGAACGCAGGGCAAGGGCAGTGATTTTGAGATGCTTCACCTTGGACAGCACCACACTACTATTTTTTCTTAAAAAAACATCTTTGGAGTTTGTAAACCATCAGAGAGCCATCGAGAAAGAAGAATTTGAGAGATCAGCCAGCTGGAATATTCAACTACTGTGACCTGTCAAAGAAGTCAAGAAGTCTCCTGTGTATTTTTCTACATATCCGTATATATGACAGAGCCACAAGACACCACCTAAGCTGACACCACTGGAAACAAAGGAATGACCTCCTTAATTTAAAGAATGAGCTCAGACAACACTGCACTGGTCCCAAGGGAGGTAGATACCTTTGTTCCACTCCCATAGAATTATGACACATGCAGCTTTTTAATGAGGGAATTTCTCAACTCCCATATGTACCTGCCAAAGGGGTCATTGAAAGAGAAAGACTGAAGGACAGCGATGGCTCCTGCTACGTCCTAACAGGCATGTCCAGGCCCAAAGACGCTGGAGCACAAGACGTGCAGTCAACAACTGAACTACGTTTACTTGCTGCCCCGACCCCCTCTCTAAAGCCATGTCAAAAACATGCTGCTGAATCCCTAAGTAACTCCCTACAGCCAGCCAGGTGGAGCTGGGAACTGCTGTTATGAAACACCACAGCAATTTGGTAAAAAAGAAAATTGTTACAACTGTGGGGAAGCTTTGATTTGGGAGGATCCTGGTATGTGGTTTATTTGCTCTAAAACTCTGTATTTATAAATCGCTGCATTATTCCCAGTTTTCCAGGGCAAAAAGATTATCAACTCACACAGGCTCATTTCCAGACACGTACGGCGTTCCGCAGAAGGAGGCAGCCAACGACTCCTGCGCGCCAGCCACACGATACCTGCCTGAAGGCGAAGAGCGGCGCTTCTGCGGCAGCCACCCGCTCTCCTACGTGCGTTACGCCGGATGCCTGCTGTAAAACGCTCCGGATAAAAACACAGCTTTGATCAATATAAAGCTAAAAGCGTTCTGCACATCAGCGAGTCACAAGCAGGGCCCAAGAGCCGGCACAAGTGGGATCATAGAATCATAGAATGGTTAGGGTTGGAAGGGACCTTTAAAGATCATCTAGTTCCAACCCCCCTGCCATGGGCAGGGACACCTTCCACTAGACCAGGTTGCTCTAAGCCTCATCCAGCCTGGCCTTGAAGACATCCAGGGATGGGGCATCCACAACATCTCTGGGCAACCTGTTCCAGTACCTCACCACCCTCTCCGGGAAGAATTTCTTCCTGACATCTAATCTAAACCTCGCTGATTTCAATTTATACCCATTACCCCTTGTCCTATCACTACAGGCTCTTGTAAAAAGTCCTCTCCCAGTACCCTTGTAGGCCCCCTTCAGGTACTGGAAAGCTGCAATGAGGTCTCCTCGGAGCCTCCTCTTCTCCAGGCTGAACAAGCCCAGTTCTCGCCGCCTTTCGTCATAGGAGAGGTGCTCCAGCCCTCTTCGTGGCCCTCCTCTGGACTCGGCATCAACAAAAGCTTCCTAATCTCGTTTCTATGCCCAGCACTCTGCACGGGTTAGTGCTCTGCATCGGCAGCCGTATGAAACCATCCTTCAGGAAAAATCTGATACTAATTTTAAATACCACACACATTGGTAATCAGAGGTGCTCCGTACAGCGAAAGCTTTCTATTACACAGGGAATTCCGCAGATGAAGGTTTGCGTCTGGCTACGAAAGCCCGGCCGCCTCTTCCCCCAGCTGAGAGCTGTTCCACCGTGGGATTGCTCACCGAGGCAACCGCTCATCCTCATACTGTATCCCCAGGCTCGACTGCATTCGCCAGCCTCTTTATTCAAGCAAATTGCCACGGGGATGAAGTTCTTTGGCCGTATGAGAAAAGGTAATTTCGGGGGGCTGGCCACGTGACAAACCCATGCAGCAGCTGAGCGTCTCCCATAACCGTGGGGGCAGGGCAGGCAAGACAGGAGAGAGGGGAGGTAAGACTGAAGCAGCTGTGAAACCTTCTATTTTGTATTCCCAAAGACACGTGAATTCTGACAACAGTGGCCAGTTGTCTGACATGCACAGATCCTCCCCC